CCACCTATCTATTTTCGACTAATAAAATTAAACTCGTAAAGTCAAACAATTTTTAATTTCCTTCACAGATTCATCAGAAAAAAAAAAAAAAAAAATGAAGGATGCGTGCCATTTTGTTCTGTTTTTGTTGTTTAAGGAACTATGTGGGATGCAACTACTTTTATTCAGTTTAATATATAAGTGTTAGTTATGGCCAAAAAAAGAAAGAAAAGATGCAAGATTTAATAGAAAAGAAGGAAGCTTTTGACAAATGATACCTGGTGGAAACCAAGCTCTCTTGTGAGAGGAACACCAAGTTCAGTAATACAGGCATGGAGACGATCATCGCTTCCATAAAATTTTGGATACCTTTCAATGCACTCATCGTGGAAGTTCGTAAGGGCCTCTGCAAGAGGATAGCTGATGGCAATTCCACCTCCACCGAATGCCATAGAGTGACTGAAATAGGCGTTGGCAGAGTGGCTTTCTGATGGGCTGCCGATATAAACCATCTCGGAGGTATCATACTTGCTTAGCACCGCCAGGAGATTGTCAGTGTTGAAGATGGTGTCGTCATCACCCAGAACAAACCACCGCACATCGGAGAGTCCGAGGTTGAAGGACTCGGTAACAATGCGAGAGATCCGTAGGCCGGAAGGATGACCAGTGGGATTAGTGTACCGAAAACGGGAGATGTCCTCGGAGACCATGAGCGGAGGAAGGGAATCGTCACCTTCTTCTGCAGGCACCTGCTCTTCCACCCAAACGTGGCCTCGCATGTCCTCCGGACGCCACCAGAGTCTCACAAACTCCTTACGCCGTTTCCAGAGATGCGACGATCCCGCGATTCCAAAAACTATATGGTTCAAAGACAACTCATTTCCACCCTTCCCACGCTCCGAGAGGCTGCGATTGCGGGGAATGGCCGGCGTTGGCGGTTGAATGATCCGACTCGGAGGAGGTGGCTCAACTGATGGATGGCGAAAACGACTACCAAAATAAGCGCGAGAACGGCGATTGGACCAGGGGAGAGAACGAGAGATGGAAATGGGACTGCCTTCCCATTCCTTGAAGCGGCGCCAGCTGCGGGTGCTGGTGGTGCCAGAGAAGACAAGTGAAAACCATGCAGTGGTGGAGAAAAGAAGCGCGACAACTGCAACCACCGCAGTAACAGTCCGAGACTGACGCCACCGACGGCCCCTACAGCGGGCAGAACGCGGCGATCGGTCATTGCTAATTTTGACAACATCATTATTATAGGAAGGCAGCATCATGACGTTGGGCACCATCATCCCCAACGGACATTTCCACCGGCGGTGGGAGGAGAGTACAATCTCGTCCCAATTGTAAGGATCCGGCGAGAAATCAAGAGGAGAAACAACTTTTTCTTCTTCACGGATAGCAGCACTATGATTAGGGTTTATGTTTAGGGGGGAAAGATAACAATTCGTTAGCAATTTAGTTATAGGGGATTTAAGTTTAAGTTTAATAAAAAAAAACTAGTTTTTTTCTTTCTTTCTTTTTTAATTTTTGAGATTTGGAATTTTTAGTAGGGGAGAATGAGGTTCCGGCATTTTTTTAATATGTATTGCAGAATGGCTGGCGACAGGTGGAATTAGAGACGTTGAAGGACGTGTCCGTCCTGTGCTAAAGTGCGGTGCTGCCTTTTTTCGTTGGTTGTGTTGTTTGAAATTGAAATCACTTTTAACGTAGTATTTTAGATTCCAAGAACACTAATAATTGGATTGGATAGACTTTTGACAATAGAGCTTTTGTTTAA